TCAGTGCAGTATACATTATTGAACCCATCTTACTCAGTCTCTCCCCAACCCCAAGGACAGTCCCATTCTACAACAGTGGCATCATGTAATATTGTGACTGGGATATTTCACTCAGCATAATGTTCTCCAGAGTCAACCATTTTGAATAATATTGCATGAGTTCCTTGTTTTTTAATGCAGTATACATTATTGAACCCATCTTACTCAGTGTCTCCCTAACCCCAAGGACAGTCCCATTCTACAACAGTGGCATCATGTAATATTGAGTAACATTATTATGTTTCTATTTATTTGCCTGTCACTTGTCCCTGAGGGGGAATCATGATGAAGACTTTCTGTCTGAGTTAGTCAAGACATGGGTAATTGGAGTTTTGCAGCTCAGCTCTTGTGAATAAACTATTTTCCTGGAATTTGTAAATTTTTTTTTCTTAGAAACTTTTTCACAAACTATGAAACCAAGGGTTGAGGGACAGCGTGCAGGAGGGGAAGGCCCTCTATGAGGTGGATTGATTCAGCCACTGGGGTTATCGGGATGGAAGTGTCAGAGACAGTGCGATTGGCCCAGGACAGAGCAGAGTCCAGGGCTGTTGTACATAGGGTTGCTATGAGTCGCAAGCGACTCGATGCCACATAACAACAACAACAACAACAACAACATGAAACCAAGTTGCTTCTTGGAGATAAGGAGTTTGAAGCTATGTCAGACATACTAAGGGCATGTTGCCAGGAGGGACCAGTCCTTGGAGAAGGACATCATACTTGGAAGAGTGCAGGGACAATGCAGGAGAAGACCACCCAGAATGAAATGAATTGACACACTGACTGGGGTCATGGTGGCAGGAGTGTTCGAGACAGGGAGATTGGCTCAGTATAGGTCTCTATGAATCACAGGTGACTTGATGGTACGTAACAACAACAATAGCAATGTTTTATTTTTACAGAAACCAAAGTCTTCCTAGAATATTTTTTTATATTTATTCTCTTTACTACTATCTTCAAAGGCAGCTCTGATGCCTTAGTAATAGTGTTGTGTTGCCAATCTAAATGAAAGTGGTTTGAATCCACCAGCCGCTCTGTGGGAGAAAGATGATTTCCTCAGCCTCTGAATTCTTGATGGAGGGTCAACTATGAGTTGGTTCTGACTCCAAGGTACATAACAACATTTTTTTATAATTGGCTTTAAACATTGTGGTGAAAACCTGTATAACTTTTAAAATTGTACACTTCAGTGGTATTAGTCACACTGTGAAACTTTTACCACTATTGCTTCCAAATTATTCCATCACTGTTAACAGAAACTTGGTACCCCACAATGAATCCGGCTTTGCTCCCTTGGTGACCAGTCTCCTTTATCCAGCGTTAGGAGAGTCCGCTTACTCTGACCAGTTAGCCTTTGTGCAATGAGATTCTCACTGGTTTGAGCCACTGTATTTTTCCTTAGCTCTTCATGGTTATATCCCTTGAATGCTTAATCCAGGTCGGTTCAGTCTATGCGGAATCATTTGAGTACCGCTGTTAGGCACCACCAAAGGATGGAGGGGAAAGTAGAAGGTTTTTGCAGTTAAGGGTGTTATAAACAAAAACCTGTTGGGGGCGGGGAGGAGGAGGAGAAATATGTTCAATGATAAGTAACTGAAAAATGATTACAGGCAGATCAACACCAAGAAAAAAAAAATCTGGAAGAGGACACTAATAAATTGCAGCCATTATCTGGGATAAAGTGCAGCCCCGGAAAGCAGAGTGAGAAAGGGAGGAGGGAGATGATTTATTTCACTCGTTTTTATTGATAAGTTATCGAGAAGTGGTGAGTCAGTTTTACTGGGCAGACAACTTCTGGAATCAGAGGCGACAGCCTCCTCCGGGCTATTTCGGTACTCGGGGTCACCGGCCGACTATGTGCGTGCGTGCAAGCTGCTGAGCTCGCATGTAATTACCACGCTCCTTTCCCTTTAGAGCCGCAGGTCTTCCGAGGTCTGGCTGGCGGCCCCTGCAGGCCAGCCCCCACCTCGCCTGGGGGGCTTGACCTCGGTTGGGCCCCGCCCAGCGACTCTCCCTTCGGCTCAGGCACCTGCCTGGCCGCCCTGCGCGGCGGGGTCCTAAGGCGCCTTGGGCAAGCGCCGCGATTGGCTGCGACTGGTGGCTAGAGCTCTGCTCTAGCGCCGTTTGACAACCGCAGTCTGCAAGAGGTTGAGCTGAGCAGCCCGGGAGGGGCAGACGGGAGGAAGGACGGGCCGACGAACTGATGGATTGACGCGCGCGGGCAGCAGGAGGGAGGGAGCAGTGACGCCAAGCCCAGATCGACGCCCTCGCTTTCCCACCGTAGCCCGGAACCGATCCGCCTTGGGGCCCCGGTCGCTGGCCTCTCAGCTGTTTTCTCCTCCGTCGCTTCTCCGGGTTAGACCGGAGCCCTCAGGTGAGTGTCTCGGAGAGGCAGAGGCGGGGTCAGCGGGGCTGCTCACCTCGGGTTGCCATGGTCACCCGTCACTCCCTTGTCACCAGCTGACGGGGCTTGGACCTAAGCGACTCTGAGGTTTGCGTTCCCAGGGCTGGAGAGGGGGGTCTTAGGGTAGGCTTGGGTGTTGACTGGGTGGGGACTGTGATCATGGGTGAGGCCCTGGAACCCCTGGATGAGGAGCTGTAAACTGTGGGGCTGGCTCCGAGGCCGCCACTCCCAGACCACACCTTCTGTATGTTACCAGCGCGGCTCCACTCCGCTCCGCTCGGGGGCAGAACGACGCCCCTCGCCCTGGCTCTGCAAGACCCCGAGCAGTCGGCGAGCGCAGGGCTTGTGTCTACCTCGGCGTGAGGGGGCTGACGGTGCTGTTCCTTTCTTCCTCGCCGCTCTGCAAGTCGGTGGAAGAACTGCGGAGCGCGCTGCCGTGCTTTCTGGGCATGTCTTGGCCAGGAGGAGAGGAGCTGGTGTTGGGGCTCGAAGCTCAGCGGTGGTGTGGGGCAGCCCTGCAGCAGCCGGGATTGCCCTTTCTTACGTCAATGAGCAATGTGAGCAAGCCTTTGAGGGTCTGGGTGTAGCTGGGCAGAGGAGCAGCTATTTGGAATGAGGGTTGTGTGGGGCGCCTGCGTGCAGAGAAGGGAGGTTGTAGGGTTAAGCGATTTCTTCACATTGGGGAGAAGAGATTGGGGCTCCAGCCCGGGGCGAGACCTTGGGCAAAAGAGACAGAGGTGTGCGGGGACAACAACTGACCAGTTGGGTTTTTCCTTTTCTGTACCCTAACGTGCAGTTAGTTACCACGCGTTGTCTCTAAGAGGGACGGTTTTTTGGCAACTTGGTTCTCTCTGCATAATGAAAGGAGAAGTCTTTGTTCCACCCCAATCTAGGTTGTGATCCTAACACTGTTTCCATCCCTTTGTTGTATACTTCACAGAATTCTTTAAGAAGTTAATGACATGGAAACTAACATACAGGTTTTAATATGCTACAATAAAATTCACCCCCTCCCAGCAAATCCGGGTAGAATGTTTTTGTTGCCAGTGTTGGCATGTCTAAACAGCATTGAAATTTTATTAGAAAGGATGCCCAATAGCCATTTTCCCTTTTATCTGGTATATTCTCGAGGTATCATTTGGGAGGAAGATGTAGTAAATTATTTTACCTTGGTTTCAAGGAGTGGATTGCTTCCAGTAGGAAAGAAAAAATTATTGTACAGTGATGGAAAAGACAAATAAGCAAGCTTTATCAGTACAACATAGTGTTAGATAAAACCCAAAACCTTTGAATTTGAATGACATTATAAATTGTGTGTGTGTGTGTGTGTGTGTGTGTAGAAATTTTAACACTCAATTATCTCTGTCTCCCACTTTCTGTTTCTTTCTTTTTAGAAAAACAGCACATAGAATGTATTCTTAAGAGAATAGGGATGCTATCCTATGTGCATAGTTAAATAATTATGTCCGGCTTCTTATGTTTGTGAAATCACGTTTATTAGTTAGTGTACAGTATATGATATGCTTGATATAAGCTGCAGTTTGGCAAACATTTCAAACTAAGTGTGAAAAGAAATGCAGTTTTTCTTAGTAGACTCAGTAAATTGGAAATTAGATTACTGAATATAAGCTTCCCTTTGCTTAATTTAAATGATATTACAATCTTTGAAGATCCCCTCTTATTTCTTACTCTGTAATATGGTAGTAATACCTGTTACTGATTTAGTCTGAGGATAGGCTCTAAAATGAAATAAAATAATGCCTTTGAAAACCCTTTAGAAAGAGGAAATAAAGGCATCTATTGATTGCCTTTTAATAGAAGGGAGCATTGGCAAAGATGAAAATTCTGCATAGTCTAGTTAAAATTTTTAGATCCAAGGCCAGATTTCTTACAATGGCTGAAAAGGCTTATGGAAACTATTGAGATATATCTTTACTTGCAGAGGATCTTGATCACTGTAGGTGACAGGGGGAAAAATTTTCTTCTTGTGTGGGGTTTAGGATAGCTTTCCTGTTTTCAATAGGATAGTCTCACAGAAAATAAGGCTATGGCCAGTATCTTTGACTTGAATTACATTTGGTGTTAAAAAAAAAAATTACATTTGGTGTTAAATAATCTTCAGTGTGGATCAGTGATTGCTGCGTTATCAAGAATTATCTTTATCTTTTCTGATCTGTGCTTTTCATAGTAGAGGACTTAGAGATACGTTGTTGTGTCATGGAGTCGGAACTGAGTCATAGCTGAGCCACCAGCAGGTTTTCAGAGGTAGCGAATTGCCTGGGAGAAGATTGCTTATCTTTCTCTCACAGAGCAACTGGTAGAGTTGAGCCCCTTTTTGCCTTTGCGTTGACAAGCTCTCTTAGGCTGTAATGGGGTAAGAGGTCATATAAGATGGCACACACTCATGGAATTGTTATTGATTTTGTTTGAAGAATTGGATAAAAAGTATTATTTTGTGATAAAACACACAAAAAAGGACCTGGAGAATGCAATATTTACACTGATTTCTATGGGAAAATTAAAATACTTCAAAAATATTTTATTCTTAAATGCTCCCTGAGGATGTGTTTTCTTCTGCTTTTGAAGAAAGAGTTTTAGACTTGTTTAGCTTAGATTTACTTTCCTGAAGAATGGCAAATCACTGCATTGCATAGGAACTAAATTGAGTTCCAATTTTTAAAGCTTTGACATTAGGGTTGAGATTATTTGAATCCCAATTAATCTCTCATTTTTATCCCTGTAACAGGGATAGAGGACTTGTATTGGGATAGAGGGGCTATTCCCTAAAGAGGCACATGATGCTCAGAAAGGTGGAGGGTCGGCCAAGAAGAGGAAGACCCTCAACCAGATGGATTGATTCTGTGACTGTCTCAGTGTCAGGAAATGTAAGGATGGCACAGGATAGGACAAGGTTCAGATATATTGTTCAGAGGGTCACTGGGTCATATTCTACTCAACAGCATCCAACAACAACAACAACAAGTCGGAAGTTTGCTGTGGAAAAGTGATGGAATTTGCATCAGCTGAACCATTTTGTCTACTTATTGGCTCTTCTTATTTCTACATATTGGGATATTAGTATTGCTTCAGAGGGGTCTTTAGCCGGAAGCCTTATTACCCCACTGGACTTCTGTGACACTGTTTATGTTTCTATTTTATGTGTATTACTTTTATAGAGATGTTAATATGTATCATTTGACTGTAGGGACTTTCTGAATAGGACCCATGGTCCTTTATTTCTGCTTTCTGCCTTAGAGGCAGTACAATACTTTGCATAAAGGTTCTTAATATTTCCTGAAAGAATAAAAGAGCTAGAAAATATGGTTTCTAAAACAAATATATAGTGGAAGAATTTGTGGCTTCTCACTTTATGTAGGAAAAGGCAGGTTCAGGCTTACTTGGTTAGGAGCTACTTAGTTGCTGCTCAATGGGATCTCATGCCAGAACTTGCCTTTATAATGTTTAAGATACTGAAAGATTAAACCATGTTTTGTTTGATTTGGATTTGAAGGGAGACTTAAGTAATAGAAATACATTGTTTCCCCTTTCCACTTAGCTCATGTTAACATTTTTACTATAAGAAAAAGGCAATGAAATATATTTATTGTTTCGTTCAAACAATGTTTTTGTCTATGCCTGTGTACCATGCTTGTAACTCTTTTTTTAAAAAAATTATTTTATTAATTTTAATGAACATTTACAAGGATTTTGGATTTCCATTCATTCATTGTTGCACTTTTCTCCCTGCCCACCACTCCCCACAAGCCCAGTTCACTTCTTCTTTGAAAAGTAAAAGAAAAATTCTTTTTGAGACCAATTAAAACAAGCTTAATGAGAAAAAAAAGAAAAATTATTTTATTGGTATACAATCCCCACTGTTGTTGTTGTTGTTGTTATGTGCCGTCGAGTCGCCTGCGACTCATAGCGACCCTATGTACAACAGCCCTAAACTCCGCTCTGTCCTGTGCCAATCGCACTGTCTCTGACACTCCCATCCCAATTATCCCAGTCACTGAATCAGTCCACCTCATAGAGGGCCTTCCTCTCCTGCGCCGTCCCTCCACCCTCCCAAGCATGATGTCCCTCTCCAAGGACCGGTCTCTCCTCACTACATGTCCGAAGTAAGTTAGACGGAGCCTCAGAATCCTTGCCTCCAAGGAGCCACCCGGTTTAACCCTCTCCAGGACAAATCTATTTGTTTTCCTAGCAGTCCATGGTATTCTCAGTACTCTTCTCCAGCACCACAGCTCAAAGGCATCAGTTCTCCTTCTATCCTCCTTGGTCATTGTCCAACTCTCTGATGCATAACAGGTGATTGCGAAGACTATGGCCTGTATCAGACGCACCTTAGTCTCCATAGAGACACCACTGCTCTTCAGCACTTTGGAGAGGTCCCTAACAGCAGACTTTCCCATGGCAATGCGCCGTTTAATTTCCTGGCTGCTGGTGCCAAGACTGTTGACTATGGAGCCAATCCCCACTATGCAACCTTAATTCTGGACTCTTGTGATAACCATAATACCCTATCATATATTGCTTTTAAACTGTTCTCTCCCTCATCTGTTGCAATGCAGTATACATAATTTATCCAGTTTTTCTCAGTCTTACCCCAACCCTGATGTCAGTTCCATTCTATAACCGTGGCACTATGCAGTATTTGTCCTTTTGTGACTGAGATATTTCACTCAGCATAATGTCCTCCAGGGTCACCCATTTTGAATAATGAGTTCTTTGTTTTTCAATGCAGTGTAGTATTCCATTGTGTGAATATACCAAAGCTTCTCTATCCATTCATTTGTTGATGGGTACTTAGGTTGTTTCCAGCTCTTTGCTATTGTGAACAAAGCCGTGATAAACATAGGTGTGCATGTATCTGCTTAGATGTTGGTTATGGTTTCTTTGGGTATATTCCCAGTAGTGAAATTGCTGGGTCAAATGGTATCTCTATTTGCAAACGCCACCTTCCACAG